CCTCCTCCCTCCCCTTTTCCCTGCATGTCCCGCCGGCTTCGGGCACCTCTCCCGGGCTCCCTGAGGAGCTGGGCTATTTTTATCCATCAGTTTTCCAGAGGGTGACGTGGAGAAGCTCCCATGCCAGCCCTGCCAGCTCGGGAGCCCGCACAGCCCCGCCAGAGAGGGGATTGGCACCCTGGGGAAAGGGATCACCCCCCTGGATAGATGGATCACCCCCCTGGATAGATGGATCATCACCCTGGATAAGCAGATCTCTGAGCTGGCTGAGTGGATCAGCCACCCGGGTGAGTGGGTGGCTGTGCTGGATCAGTGGATCATTTATCTGGCTAAGTGGATCACCACTCTGGATGAGCAGATCGCCACTCTGGATCAGTGGATTCCCATGCTGGAGTAAGTGGGTCACCACACTGGAGAAGTGGATTTCCACTCTGGGTAAGTGGATTTCCACCCTGGGTAAGTGGATCCCTGTGCTGGCTGGGTGGGTCACCACTCTGGATAGTTGGGTCATCACTCCAGCTAAGTGGATCACCCTTCTGGATAACTGGGTCACCATTCTGGCTAAATGGATCATCACTCTGGGAGAGTGGATTCACTGTGCTGGCTAAGTGGATCACCACCTCAGCTAGGTAGATTGTCACTCTGGAGACGTGGATTTCCACTCTGGGTAAGGGGATTGTCAGCTTGGCTAAGTGGATCTGCAAGCTGGCTAAGTGGATCACCACTCTGGATAAGCAGATCACCACTCCAGGTGAGTGGATCACCACTCCAGGTAAGCAGATCAGCACTCTGGAGAAGTGGATCATCACTCCAAATAAAAGGATCACCATTCCAGATAAGTGGATCACCACTCCAGATTAAGCAGATCACCACTCCAGATAAGTGGATCACCACTCCAGGTAAGCAGATCACCACTCTGGAGAAGTGGATCATCACTCCAAATAAAAGGATCACCACTCCAGATAAGTGGATCACCACTCCAGGTAAGCAGATCAGCACTCTGGAGAAGTGGATCACCACATCAGAGTGGGGGTCACTGCTAATCCCAAGGGATGAGCAGGCTCTGCCCCGGGGAGGCTGGCTGTGAAGGGCACCCTCCCCTCCAGCTCCACCACCAGCAGCACCTCAACGCTCCTGGAGAGCTGGTGGGACTGAATGGGAATCAATAGGGAGAGGGGATGAACTCCTGCAGCCCCATCACCGGTGGGTGATCCCCACTTGGGGACACGGACTGAGCCCTGTCTGGTGTCAGATGTGGACCCTGAGGACACTGAGCCCCTTCCCTGCTCTCCCACAGCAGAGGACGGTGCCACCACAGGGAGTCCTGCCTCCACCTGCTGTCACAGCCCATGGAAGCCCATCAGGGCCCTCAACTTCTACCTGACTTCAGGCAGGTTGAAGCCCCCCTGGGAGCAGGCAGGACAGGAGCCACCAAGCTGTCCCCTCACCTGCACCAGCCGAGCCCCAGCAACTGGGAGACGACGGGGAGAAAACCACCACAGAAGGCCCCCACCACGGTGCCACCTGCCTGTCCAGCTTGACAGGGCCACCTGGCTGTCCTCCACCTGTCCCCCCCAGACCCACCTTGCCTATGACATCGTTGCGGCTCAGCCTGTCCTTGTCCATGACGGTGATGACGATGGTGGTTTCGCGCAGCCGCTCGGTGGGGATGTCGAAGGAGAAGGACTCGTTGAAGACGGGGTTCAGGCACCGCTTCATCACCACCGTCTTCTTCTTCTCCACCCTCTTGTCCTTGTACATCAGCCACACCTTCACGTAGGGGTCTGGGGGAGGTGGGGGTGAGGGGTGTGGGGGGACAGGAGGTGCTCACCTGACGTGCCCCCGATGTCCATGGCTTTGAGGTTCCGGGCTTTGATGATGTTCACCACGATGGAGTTGGCGGAGGGGTTGTAGCACAGAGACAGCAGCAGCTCCCCGCGGCTTCCCTGTGGGACCCCAACCCGGGCTCTCAGGTCCTTGGTCCCAGAACGTCCCTTCCTCACCACAGCACCCAGCCCAGGCTCTGGTGGGACACCCAAAGCCCCCGTGTCCCGCCGTGGGAGCTGAGATCCACCACCCCCCAGAGATGTCCCAAGGGTGGACTTTGGGGCAGTGGGAAAAAAATCAGGGCGGGAGGAAACGGGACCATCCCCAGTGGGACATTCTCTGCTCTTGCTGCAGGCAGGAGAAAAAGAAAACATCCATTTTAGGTTTACCCGAAACAGCTGCTTTTGACCCAAAATGTGACACTTGCTTCGGGCTACTTAGAACCTGAATTTCCAGGTAAAGATTTGGGAAGAGAAACCTCTTCGTTGGATATTGGACCTTTCCACAAAGGAGAAAATGTCCCTGTTGGGGGAGCAAGAGGGAGTTGGGCCACACAGCGACAGGGGGGAGCCTTCTCTCAAGGACTGTCCCCAGGAGGTGGGAAGGGGGGGTCAGGGCCTTACACTGCCATCACTGCACGGCTTCAGGTCCTTCCAGAAGGTCTGCATCTGGGTGAGGTCCACCTTGTTGAGGGGGATGGACACCTCCCCGATGGGGTCGTTGCGGCTGAAGCGGTCGTAATCCAGGACCTGGAGGTACAGCACCCTCTGCACCACCTTCTCATAAGGGAACCCTGTGCAGGAGACAGAGGGGGTGAGGAGCTGGCAGCACCCGGTGACCGTGACACCCTGCCTGGCCTGTGCTGATGGGAGGGGATCCACAAGGCAGTGGATGGGGGGCAGATGACACAATGGGGTCTTGTGGCTTCAGGCCATCACGGTGGCTGGTGGCAGATAAATTCCCCTGTGTGCACCCACCTGTGGGTGTCTTTTATGGGGGTGTGGAGAAGGAGCCTCTCCCCATGTCCTCTTTATGGGGCACTGAGCAAACACCTCCAACCTGGCGCTGATGGCTTGGCCAACCCAGCTCATCACCAATGGCCACCGTGTTGGCAGCTCAAGCTGAGCTGCTTCAGTGCAGAAAGGAGGGCAGCCAACCCCCCAGGAGGGTTCTGCAACCACCCCACTCTCACCCCAGTCCACCCCAGTCCCTACCTTCGAAGAGGAAGGTCTCGTTCCAGTGCGGGTTGAGGTTCTTCCGCTTCACCTTGGTCTCCAGCTTGTGCTTCTTGTCGGGGAGCAGGTAGATCTTGACAAAGGGGTCGCTGGTGCCACTGAAGTCCTTGGCTGGCAGCTCCTGTGCCTTCATGATCTTGACAGTCAGGGTGGACTCCTGGAAGTTGTAGCCGACGCTGAACTGGATGCGGCCCAGGTTCTCCCGGGTGATGCCATCGTGGGCCTCGTCGTCCTCAGAGCCTGGGGAGAGCTGTGGGGAGGGGGAGAAGGGTGGGGGCTGGCAGGGGGACATCCTGTAGGGTCTGCCCACCCACATGTCCCCACATTTTGGCACCTGGGTTCAGTTCACACCTGACCAGACCCTCAGCCCCGCGAGCTGCTGGAGAGCACCAGCTTCTCCTTGTTCCCTGCCACCTCTGCTGCCTCTGGTCCCGGCAACCAGGAGTGCCAATTAGGCAGATCTCTCCTGACAGCCTGTCCCTCACAGCCCCAGCACCACTCCCGTGTGCCAGCTCCAGGGTGGGGGGACATGGCCACATCACCTTGGCTCTGCCCCCCCTGGGGACTCAGCAGAGAGAGGCTGGGACCCGCCAAGGTGCGGCAGGGGAAGGGCTTGGCGGGGG